TTCTCCTAGCGCGAAGTCTTCCGGTAGCGACTACAGCACCATCCGGAAGAATTCTAGTATCACCCCCAGATTACAGTTGTACTAGGCAACGGTCATCGCCTTGATGACCGCGCTCATCCCGCAAGCATACCAACCGGTGGAAACTAACGATTTTAAATTGGCTCACTACTTAACTAGCCTATTGGTCCCAAGTAAATCGACAGGGTGTCTACTACCTGGGAAAACCTGGAAAACCGGGAATTTACAGGGAATTTTATTTTTTCTGGGAAAACCTGGAATATTCAGGGAATTTTGGTTCCACTCAGGGAATTTTCCAATTATCACTTCATTCGTAATTCAAAAGAAGTTTTTTCGTTCAGTTTCTTGAAACGTTTCTTAAGGACACTGAACTTGACAAGAAACTGACAGCTAAGACAACGTGTGCGAACGAGACAAGTTCATTCAGAGAGTCTTGTCACGCTCGCTCTTCGCTGATTTGTATGTGGGTGATCAAAATCGTCGGAAATAGGAAACAGCCGAAAAAGAGAGACTGGCAACCGTCAAAAGGAAGCATACGAAGCATGTATTGTATAAGACTAAGCATGCCAGACAGCAGGCCTACATAGAATTTTTTTGAGCTTCAGAGAGGGTCGGAGATCTACTGAGAAATTTGTTGAGCTTCAGGGTAGTTCGTAGATCTTGAGAACAGAATTACAAACAAATTAAAAGTAATTAACAGAAATTCATAAAAACAAAATCACAAGAGAGGTCGTAGATCTTCAGATAAATGTTCAAAGAAATTTTCAAAACTTCAAGCATGCAAAAATAATTACTATAAGCGAAATTTTGCAAATCTTCAAGGAAATTCGCATACCTTCAGACAAGTCCAAGAGTCTACAGTGAAATATAAAGTATTTCACAGAAGTTTGGAGATCCTCGAAACATTATTCAACATCAGAAAAGTTCGTAGATCTTCAGAACAAAGCTACAGAACTTTGAAAAAAATTACAGGACTTCTGAAAAAATCACAAGAATCTCAGAAATGTTAATGGATCTTCAGTAAAAAATGCAGAACTTCAAGGAAGCTCGGCGAATTAAAAAAAAATATTTACACGATTTCAGGAAAATTTGTAGATCTTGAGAGAGACATTTAAAACTTCTAAGAAGCTCAAATATTTTCAGATCAATTTTGACAACTTTAGGTAATCTTCAATTTTCAAATCTTCAGGGTAACCCGAGAGGAATTTACAAAACATCAGAGAAGTTTGCAGATCTACTGAGCAATTTGTTGAGCCTCAAGTTTTTTTTTTGTAGATCTTGGGAATAGAGCTACGGAGCTTAAGACAACTTTGCATAACTTCAAAGATATTTGCAGGAATTTGACAGAAAGTTTCACAGTTTCACACAAATGTGAGATCTTCAGAAAAAATCGTTAAATGTCAGAAAAGCACCTAAATTCCAAAAACAAATCGCAGCGAAGTACAAAAGTACAATATTTTGCAGAACTCCATGGAAGTCGGAAATAGATAGATCTAAAAAACTTCAGAGAAGTCCGTAGACCTTAAAAGAAGTATGTAGAACGTCAGAAAGTTCGTACGTTTTTCGAAAAATTTGCAAAACTTCAGCAAAACTCACAGATCTTCGGGAAAGTTCGTCGATCTTTAAATAAATAATCCACAACGAAATTTAAAGAACTTTAGAAAAGTTCGGAGATCTACTGTGAAATTTATTGAACTTCAGGGCAGTTCGTAGATCTTTGGAGCAGAAATACAGTACTTCAAAAAAACTTTACATGATTTGAAATAAATTTTAGGAACTTCAGAAAAGTTCAGAGGGTAGATCGTAAATCTACTCAAAAATTAGCAGATGTTTAAATAAAATTTTCAGAATTTTACTGCGGTTCTTGGATTTTGAAAGACATTTACAGAACTTCAGGTAAGTTCGCTGATATTTAGAGATATTTGCACAGCTTCAGAAAAATTAGAAAAACTTCAGAATACTTCCTAAAACTTCCGGAAAGCTCAAAAATTTCTAGATAATCTTTTAATTCATTAGAAAATTGTATTGATGGTCAGAGATATTTGCAGATATTCATTGAATCATGAAAATTTGGAGAGAAAATTACAGAACTTTCGAGAAGTTTGTAGATTATTAGAAATTTTGTGAACATCAGAGATAATTGTTGATCTTCAAGGATCTTAAATCTTCAGGGATTCAGGAACTTTGTAGATTTTTAGGAAAATTTGCAGAACTTCTGAAGAACACACAGAACTCCAAAGAAATCTGTAGAACTACCGAGAAATTTGCAGATCATCTGGAAAGATTGTTGATCTTTAAAGAAATTTTACCGGAGAACAGAAACAACACTTCAGGGACGTCAGAAGGTTTGAAGACCTTGCAGAATTGAGATATTAACAGAAATTTTCAGAACTCAAGGAATTATGTATATCTAGTGAGAACTTTTCCCACTAGCTTGTCTAAAGTTGGTATCGACATCATGGCGAAGTTTAGAAATCCATTTTCATCTTCATATCGCAGCTTTTGATGGACAAGTTGAGCCAGATCCCTGCCGGTGTTCCTCCTGAGCAACCATTGCCTACTCCACAAAGTTCACCTTCTTTTTCTCATTTTATTTAAAATAATAAAAGCAAATACGTCTGCCGAAACTAGAGCAATTTTCCGATAATTCATGATGGAAGTATTTACTTTTGATTCCTGATACAGTTTTGTTTTGAAATCTAAATTGACAGTTCTTTCGACATGTGCAAGCAGTGTGAACACCAGCAAACAGGGGGGTTCGACAAAGTGTGTCGAAAGAAAATTCGAGCAGATTTTTCATTATGGCGGTGGTCAAAATCAGACCAAGAAATCAGATAGTCTAAACGGACCTTAAGAGATTTTAGACATGTGAAACCATGATTTATTCTATCTTGATCTTCCATACAGTGTTGGACTCAAACATATTATCAAAATGATATTTTATTTTTGAAAGCATATTGTTATCAAATTTTGATATATCGTTTTATCGAAATAGTAACTTGTAACTTGTATTTATATTCTTGAATTAACACAAATACCAAAAAAAAAAGTAATATTGATTGACGTAATGCATGTTACTGTATGAATAACTAATGTGATTGCAAAAACCAAATACAGTATTACACCCATGGATATAATTTCTTTTCGCAAATTATGTGTAGGATAAATGCACCAATAGTGGAGGTACTTTAGTGTAATGTGTTCCTATGGTGGCTTATAGAGTCTCTCTAATCCGCTATAGAAGTACATTGTTCTAACGTAACTCCACTATTGGTGCATTTACTAAACATAAATTGTACAAATTAATATTAAACAACCTATGTGCATCTGTTCTGCTGTAATATTCAATAACTTTTTTGCTGTGCCGACTTATAAGTACCAACGCCCAAGTTTGAACAATCGAAAATGGGCTAGTCAAGTAGTGAGCCAATTTAAAATCGCTAGTTTCGTATTGATTGTTGATAACATCGCACTTGAAAATGGGATTACGCAAGTGTGCGAGTTATAAACGTCAGAAAGGTCAATAAAAGACCGTGCTATCGGATTATCGAGTCGTCCGATTAACGAGAGCTGGATTAGCGGGGGATACTGTAAATTTCGTACACTGTAAATTCAGTTCAACCAACAGCAACGGTAAATCACCCCGTCTGTTCGTTAGTTGTGTTCGCATGGAACATGCTCGCAATTCTGAACAAACAAAAAGCCAAGATGATTCGCTTCTTCTATATTCGACGCTTATCGTAGATTTCCAACAAACTAAATATCATCCAACTGTCGCCATCACCATCTACCATTGCTTGGAAAACATAAATCCATGAATATAAAATTCATTCAGCATTCAATCAAAGCTCAATTCCATGAAATAAACCCCCTCAATGTACGTCGACAGATGGCATCCATGTGTGTGTGTGGGATTTTTTGTTGCCATCATCCACACATCAGGCACACAATCTATAAAAAAAATAGCGAAAACAGTAACCTCAAACCGTACGCGACAGCCATTCCACCGCCTTCATCAGATCGCAATCAATCCCGGGCAATAGTTTTGTGACATTTTCTATGAATAATTGAGCGGGTGCGACGACGACGACGACGACGACCAGTAGATATTTATGAAGGACACATCAGATAGTGTGTTTGGTGCGGTCTTAAATTACGTTACGAGGGTGTGAATCCTGGTCGTTATGTCACTAAGGTGTCAATCAACCGATCCGGTGGAAATCATTTTCTCAAAGCATGGCGTATTTTTCGGACATCCTTTCCGATTCGTCATTAGAAAAAGAACAATTTTCCCGCAAAACGGCAGCTGCAAAGAGAAACCCTTTTTCCGCGTCCCTTTCAAATGGGCGCCATAACGAATGTGGGTATCGCGTTACACAATTTGCAATATGAGATGAGAAAAAGGCATCAATCTTGTTCATTTTGCCTTCGGTAGAAAATTGCAACTTTTTTGGCCGAGACAAGATCGGAGCGCAGGCAGGGAGATAAATGAGTGTTACGTTTTGTGTTGCTGTGCTGCCCTGAAGCACGATGGTTATTGGCGAAACTAGTTTTCGCAACAGGGTCTTTTCGAGTTTTTTTTTTCTTGGGAAAATGAGGAATTTTTCTTTTCGCAAGTTAGTGGCTGGAAAGAATCATTTGCGGAAATAGATTGGAAGGCGAAATTGGATTTTTCGCCATCGGAGAAAGTTTAACCAACCACGCTGTGTGTATTGATAGAGCAGCTGCTGATGGGTACACAAATGAAACCCAGATTTGCTTTTGCTGATGGTGGAAAGCAATTTATACAAGTTAATTTGATACTCGGAATTTTCAACAAAAACGTTTTTTTTCTTCTACTCTTCAAATAGGGTAGATATCAAGGGATGCTGAAGGTTTTAATGCAAATTGTGTATTTTTAGCTGTCAAATTAGTGCACTCAGACAAAAAATCTAAACTAACTACATATACCCAACCGAAGGATGTAATATTTGCTTACAGGTATGACGGATTCATCGCCGCAGGATGTTAGTGGAGACCACATGAATGGAGGATGCGGTATACCAAGCTGCGATCCAATGCAAGAAAATAGAAGAACGAAAACTGTGGAGTGTTGTAGCAAATATTATAAATGTACAATATGACCCACTTCCCAAATTCCCATATGCTTCTGAAAAGACGCAACAGTAATACCACAAACGAAGTGACAGACGACTAACTGGCGAAGAAATCCATTAAAATAATGTGGTTCACTGTAATAGAATTTTCTTGGAAGCTTGTGCCATCATCCACCAGATGGGTTAGTTTTTTTTGTTTTGATTTGAACAAAGTTGATTTTGTGTACAATGATTCTTTGACAGTATGCAAAGAGTGTATCATTTTGTCATTTTTTTTATGCAATTCAGTTTTGAGTAGAGTGAAAGAGATAGAACCAAAACATTCTAATACATTTGGTGAAAATGCTATTAACAATCCAGTAGTAGTGTTGCCATGTGGTACAATCTAGTAGTAGTGGTGTTGCCATGTGGTACACTGAAAAATTGAAATAGCAGTTTAGTCACCAAGGTCTTCGAGCCGCTCCGTCTGTCACTTCGTTTGTGGTAATACCATAGAGGTAACTCTTAGACCAGAAGGTCCCGAAGAAACGTGCTCAACTTTTTGGCTCAGCTCTAGTACTATCTTCGGTCCTAAGCTAATCGATACACCCCTCGAAACATGGGAAAATCCACGAACCCCTTATTTTGTCTGTCAAACTTTCATACACGCTATTTTGAGGCTACTCATTTTTGAGTCGAAAATCACTTAGTCTTTTTTCCAGTACTGGATCATTTGTGCTGATGGGATCGTTGCATTATAGCAAATATATTATATTAACAATATGATCCACTCTTCCGCTTAGCTGGCGAACCAAATTTTTAGTGATGAAAGCACCTCTGTGGCCAAAAAGGCTACCAATGTATTTGTTTATCGCACACTTAAACAGAGACCCTGCGTTCGGTAAAAAAAATTACCGTCTTAGATCGGTAATGCTAAAAATTACAGGTGTTTCGGTATTTTCTCGCTATATTGCTGAAAACTGTAAATGAAATGACCGAATTTCGGTAATTTCATTATAATTTACCGAAAACGGTAAACATTTTTACCGGCAGGTCTGTAAATCAGCTTCATCACTGACTTCGGTGAAATATTTTACTGAAGTTTCGGTAAACAAAGCGTTCCATTACTGAGTTCGGTAATGGTCTAGGTAAACGTCAAATCCACCATATTGTTATTTTCGATCAACTTTAAAAGCGTTCGTGCTTGTGAAAAATAAAAAGGTGAAATTATGGAGGCACCAAAATGAGTGAATCGTAGATATTTTCCGCAAATAATTAATTTTCGTTATCTAAATAAATACCGATTACAGATGGCCGATGTTGTTGCTTGTTTTTTCTGTCGGTCCAAGTTTCATTCCCGTTGGCGACGATCTGAAAACAGCATTTGGAATATTCTTCCAAAGCTTCCTTGTTTTCAGTGTAGCGCCGAATCCTTCCGTCAAAAACGGTTTTGTTCATTGGTGGTGCAATTTGCAACACTAACTTATTGATCACGACAGCAGCCAAATGTTTACATTGGTTGCAGTGACCGCCACCTTGAAACAATAACAAAGCAAATTACAGTTGAGTCGGTTACCTTTTTAAAAAATTACAGATCTCTCGGTAATTTTCGATTTGCATATCGTCCTCAAAATTACAGTTCTCCGGTAAAGTCGACTACAAATCAAGCAATGCACATCGGTAAACGTTACCGATCGTTCGGTAAATTTGACAGCTAATTTTGCTGATCCAGTTTACAGATTTTTCGGTAATGTTCTCGATTACCGAAAACATTACCGACCGTTCAGCTGTTGAGAATTCGGTAAATGAATTACCGAAGTCGGTGATTTTTTCTAAGTGTGCGTCACGAGGGGTAAACCAAATGAAAATTCGTTTAAAATTTCAAATAAATGTATTTCAGCATATTATTGTATTTGATGACAACAGTAACATGTCAGACAAATTTTAAAGTAATATACACAATGTAATTAATAAAAAATAATGCGACTCTTACTTTTGTAATAAGTGCTATACTCGCATCCCTCGATTGTTATTGAATGATTGTTGCTGACCTTTTTCAACGCTAGATGGTGCGTGAAGCAATATTTTGCGGGTCGCCATTGCAAAAGGCTTGAATGGATCATATTGTTAATATGATATAGTTGATTATAGGTGAAATTCCAGATGTTTAGAAGAATAGCTGTTTGGAGAGCTTGTTTGATCAGCGATGATCCTTTTGAAGTGACAACTGGGACTGGTTGCTGAGGAGGACAACTGCTGAAAGCTGGCTGGAACTGTAAGTTTCTTGCTGGTAGTAAGCAGGCACCGGCACAGGTTCTTCCATAATATTCAAGCTATTCGAAAGCCTCAGGTAAAACTTGGGCTTACTTTGTTTACAAACAAAACTGTCGTCTAATATGAGAAGCATATTCTTAAAGGGAGTAAACGGAGTAGGCATAGAAAAAAAATCGCTGAACGTCGATTAAATCAAGCATAAATTTTCAAAAGGACGTATGTAACATTGGATAGGTAATTAGAAACATTGGATAGCAATGTCTATATGAGATTATTAAATGCTATTTAAAATTTAATGCTATTCTTTTAAATCTGTTTGTGCTATTAGTTGGATAAAGGGATAGCGTTTAAGAGAATTGTGAAAAATGTCGAGTTTTGCAAACACGGACAAGACTTTTGATAAAACAAAATCATACACCTTTTACTTGTGTACTACTCACATACACCCTAATTTATTCGTCGGTATCACACCTTGATTGTTACATACACCCTGCATGATTCGTCTATTTGACAGAAGGGGTTTCACAAACGTCAAATCAGATACACCGGTTTTTGTTTTGCAGTGAAGATACGTCGGCAGCTCGAAAAGCATTATTGAGGAATTGTCGGTTGGTTGGTTTATTTACATAACTACCCAGAGTTGTGAAAAAATCGATGTTAAAAGCGGAGATGAGAGGGTCACCGCATTATCTGCTGTCAGATGTTATACGTTTTGTGTTTTTCGTATTAAGAAAGCGCTGGTCAGATTGGTATGTGAAGTTCAATATTAAAGTCAAGATTAAAGTGCAATTTTATAAGAATACTTTTGAAATAAAAAACATGTTGCTCCCGGAAATACAAAAACAAACATACAAACTTGACGCATTTGCTGATTGATAGTGGTTGCTTTGTTTTTTTCACATACGACGCTTCACTGTGAGCGTATCTGCAGTTTTTAAGTTATCATCAAATTTTAACAGTTAAGTCATGTTGACAATAAAAGGGTGTATCAACACCGTTTTAAATACAATGAAAGAAGGTCACATAGGGCGTTCATTAAATATATTTTCCATAATGCACTACAATTTCAAACCTTGTTTTTCATTAGCTCGTAGGAAAAGGATGTATGTTATATTCGGTTAGATGCAAAACATCGATTTGTTTATTTTTGCGACTTACGTCCTTTTGAAAAGTTATGCTTGAAATATTGAGGTACATTGAGCTACTCGCGAGTTACTCGCTGCAAAAAAAGCAACTTAGAGTAAACCTGTCGCACCCCTTGCTTCAAACCTTAGAACTTAGGAAAAATTGATATCAGAATTGTTGGAAAATAGTAAGCCATGAGGAATACTTCAATCAAAAATTTTCACTATCCTAAGAGCAACCGTAACGGTACGCTGCTAAACTCATTTTAGCAGCCCTCATCATAGCGCAGCTACCGTATCGGGGGTTGCCATACGAGTAACTAAAATAGCAGTCGGCTTCTCGGTGAGAAGCGCGTTACCAAATTTAGCAGCGCGATAGCAGCGCATGAGAAAGGTTCCTATTCATAAAAATGTCAAAATGCTCACGACCGGTACGGACTACGGCGAGTAAATTGATAACCAGCGATAGCAGCGACCGGTGTGGAGAAAAGTGACTAAACTAAAATGAGAGCGCTGTGCGCTGTTAAAATAGTCGTGCAAATGATAACGACCGTTACGGTTGCTCTAACAACCACTGTTGATTCAAGTTCAGTAAAATCTGTTTTCCGATAAATATCGCTGTTAAATAAAAACCAAAATCCTTTCAAGAACCTTTACAAAGAAAAGTTCCTACGGTAATTTGTTCGAAGAACTTTCAGTCACGTCCCCAGGTGAGCGAACTGTCGGTGTGATTCCGAACCAGCCGCCTAAAACATTGGTCCTTCGAGCCGGATCCTACGTAAGCGTTCAATTTTTCCTTCGTACATAGCCAAGCCAGACAAATCTTGGAGTCCGTCCAAAAGTACGTTGACGTCACTTCTACTTCTAATTCTTCTTGTACCACCTTCATCAGTTGACTAGAAAGAACACATCCTTGTAATCCGAGCCTGGGAACCGTTTGCGATTTAGGAGGCGCCACTCTTGATTTGGCAAGAACTAAAGCAACATGCGTTTTGCCCAAGTATCGATGCAACATGTATCTCACGCTACCGAAAAAGCATGAAGTTCAACACTGCCAAAAGAAGGAACATGAGTAAAATAGTATCTTGGTACCCGGACCTCCTTAAGCATCGAGGTTTGTTCAAGCCATACAGTCCACTTTGAAATCAGACCGTCAGTCTTGAAACATTATCTGCAAATGGATTTTGATTGGGCTAAGCACATTCAACGGATCGAAAATACTCGTCATGAATTGCAGTAACTGTCGCTTTGTAGGAATATCAGCTCCAGAACGAAACTTTACATCAAACTTCGGGAAGTCCCTAGGAAAGACAAGCTCGTCAGTATTAAGATGCCATTTCAGACCAAGGGCACGAACATCCGCACTCGGTTCAGCTCTCATAGAGGGATTCAGAGATTCCAGAACTGCGCTACAGTTAGATCCACCTTGTTTGTGCGCCTCGATAATCTTTTTTGTTAGATCAATTGCTTCGTCTTCGGTGTCTGTTGAATCAAAATTGTCATCCACGTAGGGCTGTTTGACTGTTGCACGTTCTACTCCAGGATCTTCAAGTTCCTTCGCATTGAAATTCTTTATAAATTGAGCAATTGACGGAGACGACACAGCTCCGAAAATCATAGCCATACTGCTGGTGCTGAAGCCAGAAGAAACGTTGATAGTTTTGATCCAACCATCTGATAAGGACTTGATGAAACATCTCTTCAATATCTGCCATTAAAGCCACCTTTTTCTGCCTCCCTCTCATTAGTCCGCCTCTTAATGGCGGAACGAAATTTGGGCCCTTATTATGGGTGTCACTTCACGGTGAAAACAAAGTGAATTGAATACAACCCTATTACGGGAGTCACCCTAGTGACAGAATGTGAAAGAGTTCATCCGAAGTGACAACTTGGATGAACTCGGTGTTATTATGGTTGCCACGTCACCGAGATTTCGGTGAAAAAAGTGACACTTCCCGTGGATTTTTTTCACCATAGTTTTCAAAGGTGAAAAGCAGTCACGCAAGATGGAGTAAGTTCAAGTTTTGAATATTTTTACTTATTTTATTAATGTTTTGAATCTTTCTATACATTTTAGGAAGAAAAAGACAAACACGCGACAATTCGCTTGCATTGTGGCCTTTATGGAGGAAAATCCCGACATTGCGAAAGGAAATAAGGTGACAAGTTCACGGGAATCGGTTACTTCCTTATGGTGGACGCTTACGGATTCACTGAACAGTTTGGGTCCTCCCACTTGTTGTGTTGCAGCCTGGCAAAAGGTAAGTTGAATCGTGTGTTTCAAACGACAAGAAATACTTCCTATGCAAAACCTCTCTGCTTTCTGCTTCAGGTTTGGACCGACAAAAAGCTGCAGATAAAGCACAAGCTGCAGCATAACAAGAAAGAGTTGAGGGCCACTGGAGGTGGGCCAAATACTCTGAAGTCGTTCAACGATCTGGAAGAAACCATCATTCGCCTCCTTTCATTGGAATCAGCGGTCAATCACAATGGTAAAATGGTAATCTACTGAAACATTTGCTAGCATAATCAACATTCTCCTTTCGTGAATTCAGGTTCTGTTTTTGGAACTCGTCTAGTGCAGCCGCAACTGAAGAACACTAAGCAATAGTCCCCTGCGTCGAGGAACCGAGAGTCACGGAAAACGAACCTATGCATGATGATGCAGCCCGTGCGGATGAAACTGAAGGAGGTCTACCAGCAGTGCGTGGCCGTGGACGAGCAACCAAGCGAAATTACCGTAAAGTCCTCCTCGAGAAGCAGACTGATGATCTCAGTAAGATGAACCGACATGTATTACGGTTCGCACATTCACGTTCACTTTCACCTCACTTACACATCTTTTCACTTTTTTTTTACCTATTACCGGTGTCACGTACAGTGAAGTGATCAAAATGAACACGGTGAAGTGACAGTGACAGTGAAGTGATGTTCTGAATAGCCCTGTTCATTTTGTGTGACGAGAAGTGTCACTCTCATCTTTGCTGTTTTGTTTTTGTTTTTGTTTTGAAAATTGCGAGGAAAATCGACGGAGTTGAAAGATTTTTTTTTCCAAAATGAGTGTGGAATTGTGGTTCGATACCGACAGCGAAGACGAGGAGGAATATGCAAATTTTGCTGTAGAACGTAGGCGGATAAGGGACACCTCTAATCCACTGGATCAAACAGAAAAATCGTAAGTATTTGGCGATAAATTCCTTGCTAAAATTGGTAAATGCTAAGATCAAATCAAATATCCTTCATACACATTTTTCAGCTTCATTCTATTCTTCCGGGTATCCAAGGAGATCTTCAAGTACCTGCGAAAATCAACCCAGTGCAGCTCTCCACATCGGTTCCTCCCATGATCATGCTAGCAGCATCCTTGAGATTTTTTGCGGAAGGTAACTACCAGAAGGGCGTAGTAAACGATCGTTTTATTGGATTGGCTCAACCAATGATGTCAAAAGTGCTGCAAATAGTTTTGGACATAATTGAAACTGAAGTCTGTGACTGAAGCTAACCTTTCATTCTAGTCTTCTGTCTCTTCAAAACAATGACGTTATTCAAATTATTGATGAGGAATGAAAAAGAATAGTGGTGAATTACTCGTCACTATCGTCCAGGTCCGTCTCTCCGTGATCATCTTGCGCATCAGTACTACCAGCTGTTGTCCGTCCCATCTCAAAATCAAGCTTCTGCTTCTTGTATTGAAGCAGCTGCAATTGATATTCCAATTGCTGACTTTGTTGTTTCTGCTTTTCCAGCAGCATTTCCTTTTTGAAGCGGAATTTCTCCTCTTCCAGATGGAAACGCTTGGTTTCAATCGCCAGCCGCTTTTCGTGAAGCGCGTATGATTTACGCGAATATCGGGCACAATCCGATACATGTCGGTTCATCTTACTGAGATCATCAGTCTGCTTCTCGAGGAGGACTTTACGGTAATTTCGCTTGGTTGCTCGTCCACGGCCACGCACTGCTGGTAGACCTCCTTCACTTTCATCCGCACGGGCTGCATCATCATGCATAGGTTCGTTTTCCGTGACTCTCGGTTCCTCGACGCAGGGGACTGTTGCTTAGTGTTCTTCAGTTGCGGCTGCACTAGACGAGTTCCAAAAACAGAACCTGAATTCACGAAAGGAGGATGTTGATTATGCTAGCAAATGTTTCAGTAGATTACCATTTTACCATTGTGATTGACCGCTGATTCCAATGAAAGGAGGCGAATGATGGTTTCTTCCAGATCGTTGAACGACTTCAGAGTATTTGGCCCACCTCCAGTGGCCCTCAACTCTTTCTTGTTATGCTGCAGCTTGTGCTTTATCTGCAGCTTTTTGTCGGTCCAAACCTGAAGCAGAAAGCAGAGAGGTTTTGCATAGGAAGTATTTCTTGTCGTTTGAAACACACGATTCAACTTACCTTTTGCCAGGCTGCAACACAACGAGTGGGAGGACCCAAACTGTTCAGAGAATCCGTAAGCGTCCACCATAAGGAAGTAACCGATTCCCGTGAACTTGTCACCTTATTTCCTTTCGCAATGTCGGGATTTTCTTCCATAAAGGCCACAATGCAAGCGAATTGTCGCGTGTTTGTCTTTTTCTTCCTAAAATGTATAGAAAGATTCAAAACATTAATAAAATAAGTAAAAATATTCAAAACTTGAACTTACTCCATCTTGCGTGACTGCTTTTCACCTTTGAAAACTATGGTGAAAAAAATCCACGGGAAGCGTCACTTTTTTCACCGAAATCTCGGTGACGTGGCAACCATAATAACACCGAGTTCATCCAAGTTGTCACTTCGGATGAACACTTTCACACCCGCATAAGCGCGAACCATAAATTGACCATACCTAAAATGGTTAAAATTGTTTATAATCCCTGCTAAACTTCAACTGAAATGGTTATGGAACTTTACATGAACGTTTAATGATAAAGTTTTAACCTTAAGTATTATAGTTTTTTGAAAGTGGACCTTACAAATAATGGGTTGTTGAGAACCATTACCATTCAAAATTCTTGTTTTCTCCATACATTTTCGGAAAGAAAACTATACTAAAACCTTTTAACTTATGGTTTGAGAACATTAATGGTAATGGTTATGGTAACCAGTAAGGTCCATGAATGGTTTTGTAACATCGATCAACTTTATGTGGAATATATCGCGAATTGGTTGCCTGTAAATTACTGATTACCAATTCACGATATATTTCACGTAAAGTTGAGCGATAATACAAAACCATTAATGGACCTTACTGACTACCATAACCATAACCATTAATGTTCTCAAACCATAAGTAAAAACGTTCTAATATAGTTCTCTTTCCCAAAATCTATGGAGAAAACAAGAATTTGGAATGGTAATGGTTCTTAACAACCCATTATTTGTAAGGTTCGCTTCCAAAAAACCATAATACATAAGGTTAAAACTTTATCACACAAACGTGCATGTAAAGTTCCATAACCATTTCAGTTGAAGTTTAGCAGGGATTATAAACAATTTATAACCATTATCGGTAAGGTCATGTGATGGTTCGCGTTTATGCGGGCATTCTGTCACTAGGGTGACTCCCGTAATAGAGTTGTGTTCACCTCACTTTGTTTTCACCGTGAAGTGACACCCATAATAAGGGCCGTGGTTGACAGGGATAGAGTCCCCCTGTTTGACCAACTTCAAAACGGTCCCCACAACGTTTCAGCGTTCTGTTCGTGATATCCAATGCTCTTTCGTCTTCTTTGGACATCTTTTGACCTTGTTGCTTGATACCAAAATCTTCAACCTTGTACATTTATTTTATTAGTTTGGTCAATTCCAAATCTTGATCGTTGTTTGAAAACATGAAATTGATCCGCTATTTCCACTGTTGCAGGTTCTATTTCACCATGTATTGTGTGTGGCAGGATAATTTCTCGAAGGGGCTAATTACGGATGTCACTTCACGGTGAAAACTTGTCACTTGTCGTCACGTGATTCCCATTTGATTTGTACGGCAATCACAGCTCTTATTCTGAGTATCACTTCCTTATCACCGTGTAGTGACACCCGTAATAAGGCCCAAAATGGGATTATATAATCTGTTCGCTGTTTATAGCCGTACGACTGCGTCCATTGATTTAACACACGGCGGCTCGTTATCCAGGATTCGCTCCACAAGCCGCTGCCATAAAATACTATCAAAGTTACACACCTCTGGTTGCATCGAGCTTATGAGCGGCGCGCTTCGACCGTCACCAAATGAGAATTTAAAATAAACGCGAGAATATTATCAAAGATACCTTAATAACAAGATATTCCACTAATCAATTTCTCGAACAAGGCAATGGATACACAACCCTTATGTGATCACAGTGCCATCTCGTGAGTGCACATTGAAATTGTTGGAAGTCCTCCACCAACTTCAATACCAGGGCTCAATAACTGACAAGTGTCATCATGACATGTGCCAGCGCGGACGTTGATGATCAGCCGAAGAAGACGAAGAGTACGATATCATCCTCGACAGCGTTGCTTCCACTCACTAGCTATAAAAAAAATAGTTTTCGGAATTATTATATTATGCAATCATTAGATGTTATAATGATATGTTGTACTAGTAAGTAACAAGAAGAGGGTGTAAAGTATGTGTTTGACCCATAAAATCTGTCAATTTCACTTTCAGAGCGTCACAATCAGCGATCTTATGATTCGTGAGCGTTCAGTCAGAGTGAGCGCTCATGAGTCGTAAAATCGCTGACTGTGTATCGGAAGATGCTCCGTGTCTAACCGCACCGTATGCCGAATGACGGACACTACGGGGTCTGACCACGCTGTGGATGAATTTCCAGCGGTAAACTACGGAGCATCTTCCGATACGAAGGTGTCCGGGAATACAAACCAACGGCCCATCGACCGTTAGACGCCACGAGTATAGTCGGAACGGAGAGAGAGATCGAAGAGCCGTCGCGGAAAGTACTGAAGTACGCGACCGGCTTGCGAACCAAGTCGAGGGTTCAAAGTCGAAGGAAAGGAACCGACTGGACTGTGAAAAGTGCCCCGAAGGAAGCTGAGAAAGGTGAAGGAGTGGCTGTGGACGGACCAACAGCGGGCCCGCGCTGAAGAACAAGGAGGAACGTTAGGCAAAACGAGGTAGGAGATAGCCAATAAGAAAGTGGGACGAAAGTGGAAACAATAAAGGTACCTATAGCTAAACAAGTGTTGTGTGTGTTGGATATTTGAGGGTTTCCTTGGCCGTGATATTCGAGCGCGCATGCCGACTCTGAGGTAGTGTAGAGGGGGGTCTCATTAGTGTTGGGCAAGGAGTACCCCATCTGTTACACTTGGCGCCCCACGTTGGGTGCCAAGTGTAACAGTTAGGGTACTCCCTGCCCAGCATTAATGAGACCCCCCTCTACACTGCCTCAGGATCGGCATACACGTATGACTATCGCGGCCAAGGAAACACTCAAATACTCTTAACACACCCCGATGAACTTTCACACAGGTCTCGTTTATTTCCCTAACTTTCCCACTTTCTTATCGGTTATCTCCTAGCTTAGCCTTCACTAGTCCTTCGTCTTCCGTTGTCGATGGGGACCCTCTTCTCTTCCGTTCCGATACACCTTCACCATCACTTTCTCCTTTCCTTTGCTTCTGTTCTTCGTCCCTCGGTTTCGACTGTGGGTTGCCCAGTCGATTCACCTCTTAACACTTCACTCTCCTCCTACGGGTGCTCCCACGGTACCGTTTGCCGAGCCCGGATTGTCCGGAGACTCGATCAATCGAAAATTCCAAGGGATATCTACGGAAACACTTTAAGGCAGCGAATTCAATCGAAGAATTTGAAAAAGACTGGCCAAAAGTGGACAAAATTATCGCCAAGGCATCTGTGCTGAAGCTCATCGGCAGCGTCAGATCAAAAGTTCGCTGCTTGGCATACGATTGATGGAACTGCGGATTATTTTCATCCAATTGAAAGGGAATACTTATAGAGAACATACACAGAAATAAATTCTGAATTTTATTGGTGATGTAAACATTCATGCGTGGAAACATTCATGCATGTAAACTTCCTTCTCACGTAAACTAGCAGTTTGCATAAAAATGTTGCAAACAAAGGTGGACAGTTGCATACAATATATAGGATATTGCATGCCATGTCTCATTAATTTACACGATCTATAATGTAAACTTGTAGGGTATATGACGCTCCATTTAGGTGCATCATAGTAACATAGTAAATAACAATTTTAGTTCATTAACATAACGTCGTGTTACTCCAACAATAAACTGTGCTTATACTTTCTGGGACACCCTATAGGCTATCTGAGACCCCAAAGCATTTGTGCATTTGTTTCGAATCCGAATACGAACAAAAGTGACAAACGGGCAT